GTGGAGGTGGTAGGTGGAGTGGGTGGTAGTGGAGGTGGTAGGTGGAGTGGGTGGTAGTGGTAATTTACATTTACTTTTACAATTTACATTAACAAAACATTTATGTTATCTTATTATACACATTTTAACTCTATTGTTAACAGTTTTTGTATTCTAAAGCTATTTAATTACAAACAAAATTAAAGGATCACTTTTTTATTTTTTTAAATTTGTTTTGTGTCTATAACCTATAAATTTCAACAACTTTCATATTTTGAAGCTACTAAATAAAATAAAAAAAATAGCATCACTTTTTTTTTAACATCTTTGTTAGTTTTATTTTTACTCTATGTTATATGATAATATAATCATTCATTTTAAATAATAAAGTCTTAACCATAAAACACGCATAATATGAATATTTCTATAGCAGTGACACGTGAATATAAAATTCAACAATCACAAAAAAAAAATTATTACCTGTGATTTTTGTCTAAATACATAAAACATATTTATTCAAACTAAATTTTAAAATTTGATCATTAATATGTAATGTGTTTATAATTTCAACACAAACATAGTTGAATAATAATTTTGTTTATAAGAAATTAACCAAACTTTTATTGAAGTATTCACATATTGAATCCAATCTGTTTAAAAATTATATGACATTCAATAATGTAATTGAAATTAACTATTAAATATTAATTAAGTACAAAACATGTATATTGAGTTTTTGCTCTTCGAATGGATCCAAATGACCTTGTCTACAATTAGTTTTCGTTATATATATATATATATATAAAGAGTATTATGAGTTGAAAACAAAGTAATTTATTTGTATATTCATTAAGGATTTTGCAATCCAATCTTGTGCTTCAAATATTTCTTTGTGCAGTTGACTTTTTATTGTAAAAGATAAACTTATCATTTAAAAATTTAATCCTACTCACTACATATATGCAAAGAAACAAATTTAACCTCATGAAGATCTCAAATAAAAAAAATAAAAATATAAGCAAAAATATTTTACAACTACTATATAATTAAGTTTATTTACGACTAAATTTAAATTGAGTGACCTCCTTATATATTACAACAAAATCGAACACATAAATTAGTATAATTGATGAACAAAATATAATAAAAAAATAAATGTGATTGAATAAAAACTTCTTTCAAACTTGTGAATGTGTTCCAAATACTCTTCTCGATTGGTACAATTTTTCTCAAAAAAATGGATGAACTCCAACTGCATCACAAAACATCACTCTTTGTATTGGTCTTTTAACCCTTTGTTGCCATTGTTACTTTTTTCCTAGACGTTGTAGTTGTAAAATTTTTTAAAAAAAAATGAATAATAAATTTTGGAGGCATAAGCGCATATACTACATTATTATAATTTCAACAACTAACTTAGATTATGAAGAAAAAAAATTAAATACACCAAATAAACAAAAACTAAGACAAACAAAAAAATATACAAAAGAAAAAATAGAGCAAAAAACATAATATGAGATTTCAAATATATATTTCTTTTCACATAAGAAAAATCTAGCATAATTGCTTAAATCACTTGTTTAATTTCTCTACAGGATTCTTCTATTTTTCAATATTTTTGCCCAATTTCATATTGTATGAAACACCTATTTAATTTCACTGCGAGTTTTTCTGTTTTCCAATATTTTTGTCCAATTTCATACTGTATGGAAGTAAGGTTTTGAGATTTATAGTTTAATTAATGTATTTATTTTGAAATATCTTTGAGTAGGATATAAATTTGATGAAGGAATTTGAATTAGAGTGAAAGTCATCATTTATCTATAAATATTTTGAAAAATTCCTATCCATATGATATTATATATATCCATACCCTAAAGGGTGGTTTGGGATGATGCACTTTTTGACTTTTATAAAATATGGGTTAGGTATGTGTTGAGTTTGAAGTGATGTAATAGAGAGGTGATGTGACTTAAATAAGATGATGTGACTTAAATAGGATAGTGACTTTTTGACTTTTATAGATTATGACAAACAAGGCCTAAGTAATTAAAAAGTGAAATAAAATATATTAATTTATATATTTATATTTATTATTTATAGTACATAGTATACATAGTATAGATAGATTTTTTTCTTTTTTTTAATGATTGGGTGTTCGGATAAGCTTATATGAAACTCAACTAAATTTGAGATTCACCTAAAGCGCTTCCTCCATGTGAATCGAACAAATCTCGAGTAAAGTTTGCGGTCGTAACCCCAATGAGGTGATAGCACATAATGATAGTTGAACCTAAGACTTGGAGAGAGCACACCCCCATTCCCAAAATACATGCACTGTTCCTTTTTTAAGTGCTAAATTCACTAATATACATGTTAGATATATATTTAAAAACGTCTAGAATTATTTCGTGATATTTGGAGCAAGTTGATCTTTTCTTAATTAATTTATGTAATTTTTACATTTAAAATTTTAAAAAATTATATAAAAATAAAAAATGTCTTGATCATTGCGGTGATTAGTGATGGCAGTGGTGAAATTTCACTTTTGTGTTTGTTCCAGCTTATACATAGTGAAATTTCATTGTGTTTTTTCCCTCAATTTTTTTCGAGTCAATATAGATTTTATTTGATACATCTGTTTGAGAGAATTTTAAAAATACAAATTATATAAAAACATAGATATCTACATACAAAAACAAGCAATTTGAAGTTGAAAAATGACTTGAATTATGTCTTGTATAGTTGTTATCTTCTTGTCCTCATTACATCAAAATTTATAAACTTGCCATTTTTATTATAAATTTTATAGAAAGGGACTTATGACCAAAAATTTATTATTCATTCCATACATGTTTATAATTTGACGCTATATTTATTTAAAATTTAACTTTGCTACATATATGCACTTACATACTTTTTTTTACTATTGATGCACATCATATATCAATCCTGCACTAGATGTGATTAGTAAAAAAACCAATAATGTTGACGAGTTTTAACCTATACATTAGTAGGCCATCAATTTTTTTCCTTTATAAAATATTGGTAAAAACATTACTACTTTCAGAAGAATCTCATCAAAACTATACTTCAATTGAAAAAAATTCATAAAACACGTGGTGTTCACAATTAATGTCCAGATCTTAATAACTTGTGTACGCATTTCTACAGATGATAGCTTTTTTTTATTTTATTTTTTATTTTTGGCTGGAGTGCTTGTCACCTAATAATAGTGATCAAAGATTTTTGTTTTGATATGATGAATTAATAGGCCTTTGACGTTGCATGATGGACAACATGCGTACGTGGACCTTTTTTGTTCTAAATTTTTTCACAGCCGGATTGGTAGACTGGTCAACTACCACCTTTAATAAACAGTAATAAAATATTTCTTAATTTTAGAATTTTAATTAAACTCTACTTATGTGAAAATTTTTAAAAAAAATTAATATCAAAACATCACATGAATAGGTGGGGCTTATCCTTGGAGCTCCTTTAGAGCTCTTTCTTTAATAAATAATGATTCAGTAATTAGTCCTAGAACTCTAACGCTGTGTTTGGTTGGAGGATTTGATGAGAGATTTAGAAAGGGAAAGGAAAAAGTTAGGTGAGATGTGAATAAAATATACTTATATTTCACCTAATTTCACACACTTTTTCCCTTTCCCTTTCCAAATCCCTAAACCAAACACAGCATAAATAGAACTTTAGTGAGATGGAAAAGAGAGAGTCAAGAGATATAGAGAGAGAAGTGTAGGTCCCACTTTTACATGAACACTCCATATCATTAAAGTTCTCAAATTAAAACTACCAAACATTATTCATAGAATCATAATGATTTATATAATCACTATATTGACTTCAAGCAAATCTAGCTAATCCAACATTGATGACTAATATATAGTTTGATTACAATATTAGACTATTGGATGCACAATTTGGGTCGCAAATTTACATTTGACCCATCTAATTAATTTAGAGAAATTGAGATTAGACATAATTTTAAGTGATCATGAGTTATGCGATTATGGCCTTGTTGTGTTTGGTACAAGTCTCTGCCATTATAATTAATGTAATGAAAATTGCTTGTCCGTAGAGGTGGATTGCGAACCTACTAAATCAACAACACTAAAAATTTATCCCTATTAATTCATAATTTATTCAAAAAAATAAATTTATGTTCAAATTCATTTTACTCATAAACCTCATATTTTGTTAATTTAATTTTCACTATGCAAAGGGTGGATTCCTAACATTTTCTTCTACTAAATAAGCAGTTTATTTGTTATAAATTATCACATTATCTCTTTATTTTTTTTTTTATAAGAAGCCAATAAACTAAAAAATAAGCAATCCTCAAACACATTTTACTAATAAAAAGGAAAAATGCTATGAATCCTAAATAATCTGCTAAATATTTTACCAAATCTCTCATATGGATGTACGACCCACACAAATCCACATGTGTGTAGATCCCACACACATGTGAGAGATTTGGTAAAATATTTAATAGATTATTTGAGATCTCTAACATTACCCAATTAAAAAAACCAAATTGCTTCTTTGTGTTATGCTCATATGGTTGGTATCTATATTATATATATAATCAAATGTAGTGATTTTGTCAAAAATCTGTAAATATTCATTCCTAAATTCTCATAATTTTAAAATTATCTCTTTCCTACGTGGCAACCCTTTTTGATTGTTTTTCTATTTTCCTCCATTTTTTATTTGTCTGATTAATTAAAATGAAAATTAATTTCATGACTTATGGATAAATATTTGAATTTCAAAATTCCTCCATATAGATAAACATATAAAAACTGATAAATAATTTATGAAAATTAATTTCATGATATACAGATAAAGATAAAAATTAAATACTTAATTTCATAACTTATAGATAATTTAAAATTTCTTCCCATAAATAATTTATAAAAATTAATTTCATGGCCTACTGATAAAAATAAAGGTTAAAAAATTGATTTAAAAAAAAAAAAGTGTTTGGGAGGGAAATTTCAAACAGGGAGGGGGGAAATGAAATTTTTTGGCGACAAAAAAAATTTGGTCGCCAAAGTAAAAACGACGTCGTTTTGTACCTGGAAAACAAAAAAAAAAACAAATTAAAAAAAAGCCCTGATCTCCTCTTTGTCTCCAACTCTCCCTCTGTGTATGTTCATCCGCTCTCTCCCTCTCTCTGTGTTCTCTCTCTCAATCGGTGCCACTCTCTCGCTCACCGAAGTCCCTCACCACCGTTGCTCACGTCCGTCGCACATCGCCACCGCCGTAAATCGCCATCGCCAACTGTCTTTCTCTCACACAGATCCTCAGACCACACTCGACCGACGACCACACTGATCTCTCGTTGATCCTCATATCCTCAGACCACACTCGCCATCGCCCTCTGTTTCTCTCTCTCTCTCTATTCGGTCTCTTCTATGTGTCTCTGTCTTCTTGTCTCCCTCTGTGATTTGGGTTCAGGTGAGTGTTTGTCGCCTCTAAATCTGCAGAGGCAGAATGGTATCTGCAGAGGCAGCTCTTTGGCCCCTAAATCTCGCAAGGGCTTTCCGTCTCCCATCTCTCTGACAAAGAAAAACGAGTCGGTTGTGCAGACCCCCTTCGATCCTGGTACTCTCTCTCTATAATCTATCTATCTGTATATGTGATTGATTAGATCATATCTCTGTGTGAGTTAAATTACTCTTCCTCTGCCCTTTGTGTGCTGTGTTCATGTAATTCAGATTTAAAATCAAATTTGAAGAACTCTAATGGAAATTGTGTGTAGTGGGTATTTTGATTTGAAGCAATAGAACTCCAATTGAGTTACAAATTGAAAAGAATTCGATGGAAATTTGATATTCCCATAACTAAATTAACTAGGATGGGGCTCTTCCAAAAAAATTATCAATATAGTCTTTAGCATTTTCATTTTCTGAGGCATCCAACCACAAAAATCCCCTATTTGGGGAGCTACAGCCTATATGGATCTGTTTAAATCAATTTATTCGATACTTCTATGATGGCCAATGGTTTCTGATATATTTCTTCTTCTGCTTTTTTTTAAAAAAAATTTAATGAGTATACTTTTGGGTTTTGGTAACTTGACTGTTTGTTTCCAGTTGGCTTTTTTTTTTTTTTTTGGAGTTTGTTTCCAGTTGTCATACTGATATATTTCCAGTTTGTTTTCAGTTGACTGATATATATCAAAGTGAGGGTTTCCTGATATATTTCCAATTTTGCATATAAAAAGTGAGGGTTCAATGTGAACTATGCAAAGACTTTGAAATGTAGCATTTTATGTGACTGCAGATTTTAATGCAACATGTTTAGATTTTCTGATCAACTGCAGTGCCAACGAAATTTTCTGGTCCAGTGAAATAGTAGAATCTGTGAGAGAAGAATCATTTGAGTTTTGTGACAAAGATAAAGATAGTGAAGAAAGGGATAGAGTCGAAATGCTCTTGTGGAGGCTAATCGGGTAAACTTTCTTTAGGTGTTTGGATAATAATCCATTGTTTGTCTTTTCTTTTTCTCTAGGACTTCTGTTCTTCTCAAGAACATGTCTTCTTACATTTTCTTTCGACAGTCTTGAGAAGGAAAAGAAAATAAAGTCCTCTTCTTTGCCTCAATTGAGTAGATGTGAAGTTGGTTTGAAATTTATAAAGGATTTGTTTTTCAATTTGGTTGGTGAAATGTGAATTTTCACTACAGAGAACTCTTTCTCCTTGGGTTTTAAGCGAAACCGATAAGAAGTAGATTGGATTTCAATATATGTGTATATATACACATACACATATTCTGAAAACGATACTTGGGAATATGTAGGTGATTGAATTAGACTTCCTATAGCTAAAAAAAATTTGTAAAGCAACAAAAATGATTTTGACATAAGCTTAGATTACAGAGATTGCACAAAGGTTTTGTTTGGAATTAATGTTGCATGGCATTAATTAATGGTCAAGTAGTAGTTAGGCTAAGTGATTTAATAGGAATCAGATGAGATATCTGGATCAAAAATTTTTTTTAAAAAAGGAAAGAATCTAGTTAGAGGATGAAAACAAGTTGACTTAATCAAATTATTTATCCTAAACTGAAGATTAGGACAATATGGCTAGAAAGTGGGTCTTATCATCTAAATAATTTATTTATCTATTTATCACTAATCTTTTCTATAGAACAGATGAAATGGAGTTTATTTTTTTTTTTTGGTTACAGAAAGTGTGATTTACTTTTTTTAGGAGAAATTACAATAAAAAAAAAGTCAAGTTACTGAAAAGTGGGTGAATTTCCAGTTGACTAATATATTTCCAGTTTGTTTCCAGTTGACTAATATGGTTGAGTCTGCAAAGTCGGAAATATTTGACAGAGTAATTGATTGAGAATTGGGGTTTTAATAATTATATTTTTGTGTTCTCATCCAATTCAAGGAGGACTGTCTACATGCTTGTGCACACACACATTAGTCGTAATTTTCCACCTAACAAAAACCATAACAAAACAATTGGGTTTTGGGAGCAAATTTAGCAAGAATAGACAATTTGACTGAAAGAGAGCAGTGACATTGCAGCCCAACTCCATTTACAGTAACTGTAAAAACACTGCTAACTGTGCTATTGAACTGCTGTAAGGTTCTTTAATGGACAGCTCACTTGTCTTCTAAATTTTTATCATTATAGCTGTCATCATCATTATTTATACATGTAGACTCATTGCCTTTGTCTGTCTATGTGAAAATTCAGTGAGTCAAGCCTGTTTATAACAAAAATTATGGGGGTAAAGTAAAGAATCTTAACCAAAGATTGTGTTACTAGAATTATTTTTTGGTGTGCAAGAGTGAGAATGACTATTCCATGCCTAAAAGTTGTGTTTTATATCAGTTCTATGATGGATATTTTTCTTTCTTTTCCCCCTGAATTCTAAGTGATGAAACACAACGGATATGTGAAGGCTTTTTCAATTCTATTTGCAAGGACTTCTCTATTTGTTCTATTTTTAGAAAAGTTGTATTTTCAGGATTATAGTTCCATTATTTTAAAGGATTTGCACGTTTCCTTTTTTGAAGTTCTTTCAGCAGTTTCACGTGTTAAACTTAAATTCATAGGATTGTTATCATGCAATGATTTTTGAGTGGGTCTACAAACCCATAACACAACATCAGAATTTTGGAAAGTGCGAAGAGCAATAGTAAAGTAAGTTCCTTTGCTTATAAATAGCTTCTCAAATATGTTGTATTTTGGAATATCACATTTGTGCTTCCTACTTAGTTTCCTCTTTCTTTTTCTTTTTTTCCAGTAGATACGTTAATTTGATAAAACCTGAGAAAGTAGCGTACAATTTTTATCTCGATATTTTCTTCTTCGGTAAGAAATAAGAAAATATTGAAAGAGTATTCGTGCATTTATTTTAGCAATTATACTCTAGTAGTAGACAGGAACTAGATTTTCGAAATACATTGTAGAATTACCTTATGTTTTAGATAGTATTTTATATTTCTTGGTGATGATTAGTGATCTTGTATTGGGACATCATATAATCATCTAATGTAGAGTTTAGAAGCTGCAACTATTTTGTATGTTTCGGATTATTTCTTTTTCGTCTTCTAACAATTCAAAACTTAATTTGATCGTTGAAGGCAATGTCGAGTTTTAATAACAATAAAATAAAGTAGCATCTATTCTGACAGTTTTCAACTATTATAAGCTTGTGTTTGTGAAAGCTGCTTCTTGAATATTGTTAAATTGCATTATACAGTGGCTGGTTGTCTCATCTCACGAACAGTTGTTGCTTGTTGTTCTTGATATGTGGGGGCTTCAACAGGTAAAGGAGAGATAAGAAAAATAAAGAGTCAGAAAGAAGAGAAGACAATTGAATTGGTGAGTGAGATTGCTGCTGGTTGAAGCGTGAGGAAGAAGGGGGAGGAGGAAAGAGAAAAGTAAAGAAAAAAATAGGGGGTAAAATTGTCATTGAACACTCTAAATTTATCATACACATTCAATCCCGCTCGTGTATTTGCCAATTTTGATGGAATTCGCCAATTTTGCACTCCAAGGTTGTGTATATTTTTAAATGTCATGGGGTAATATGTTTTTAGATTAAGCATAGGGGTTATAGTGTAACTAACCCTTGTTTTTATTGCTGAATAGCCACATCACATATCACGCTCTGAATTTTTTTTGACTAGCTCTCTATACTTGATAGGAATTTGCTGTCTACCTTCTCATGAATTTATGCATTGTTCATGCTTTCCTTTTTATTTGTTTTCCCACAATTTATCATATCACTCACATGTGAGGTATGTTTATTAATGACCTTGTTTTCTGCTTGCAAAGATTGTATGCCATAAAATACAGCATGTGCTCTCTGTCTTTCTGGTTGTAGATCATTTTCTCATTTGTGCTATGTTAGTACAAAAATCCTTGCTAAGGACCTGCTTAGTAATTTATTTTGAGCTTGAGTTTTCATCAAAAATAATATTTTTCACATTTTTACTTTAAGGAGTATGTGTCCATGATATGTTCAAAGTTGCTGTCATTAAAGACAAAAGCCCAGCGGACCCTGGTTAGTTCTTCACCATCAGGACCTGCTTATACCGTTGAAAATTCTGCACATCAAGGCAGTTATTAAAATTGAGAAGGTGCTTTTATGTGTGGCAATAGGAAGTCTGTGCCTGCTCCATCATCTCTTCTTATTTTATCATATACCTGAATATTTCTTTCTCAATAAGCATTTTCATTTTCTCAAATTCGTTATTGCCTTTTCCTTTATTTAATCTCAATTCTTCTCAATTTCAGAATAATCTCGGTCTGAATTCTGAAAACATTAAAATGTTTCAAGTGATCAAAGTTTTTAGTTGCAACATGTTGACTAAATGCTTCTTAACTTATTTTTTTCTCTTGGCTGTTTATGTAAATAGAATCTGACAGGCCTCTGGCCCAGCTGTATGATCAAGGACAATCACTCTCTAATCCATTGGCCAGTCATCCTGAAATATCTAAGCAGCTGTTATTCCAGGAATTTCAAAGTTGTATTGCTTCTATTGTACAAAGTTCTGCCAATTCAACATTGACAGTGACTACTTCCACTAATTCTACTAGGATTCCCATGACCAGAGTTAACAAGAATCCAAACTTGGAGACGGCTATTTAACAGAGGCTGGTGCATGGAAGGCAATGTGTGCTTCCGGTTGTTCCTCAACCAAACCAGTAGCACGTTCAGAATGCAGAGAAATATCCTTACAAGCAGAAATTAGAAGATCAGCATCTAAAGCAGAGCTTCAATCAGGGAAATATCATTCACTCTGACATGCAAACTGAGATCCAGCAAGGGGAACAGAAGCACATTATCTCATCACCATCACAGCAATCTGTCATTGTAGCATTTTCTGTTATGCAGCCTTCTGTGATGCAATCAGCCTCGGCAGAATCCAGAGTCTTCTGTTCAACTGCCAATGCAATCTGGACTACAGCAACATCCGTAGTCAATCTCCGAAAATAATACATGTGTATTAGAATTTTTACAAATATTACTTTACATTTATTGTATATAATATTCAAGTATATATATATATATATATATATATATGAGAATATAGGTTGCTAAAACATTGCAGGTATTTTATTTATTTATTTATATATATATATTTTTTGCGACGGTAAGAAGATGGTCGCTAATACATTATAGGTATTTTTTTAATTTTTTTGCGACGGCAAAACATTAGTCGCCACAAGTAGATTAGGCGGTCGCAAATAGTTTGCGACTGTTATTTTGCGGTCGCAAAAAGTATTTGCGACCCCCACATTTGCGACCCCTATTTGCAGTCGCATGGGCCGTCGCAAAAGGTCTTTTGCGACTTTTTTTTATTATTTGCGACGGCTTGTAGCGGTCGCAAAAAGTAATTGTTAGGTTTTATTTCTTGGCAATCCCGTTTGACAAAACTCCTTTGAGTTGTAATTTTATTCGCATTTGTATTTCAGTGAGGCTATGAGTTGTTAAATGCGAATCCAACCCGAATCAAGCTTTTCAGAGAAGTTTGTGATGCTAATACTTTCAAGATTGCCACTTCGCTGATTATGACGGGGATCGAGCTGCCCGGTCAGCTCGCGGGGGTCCAAGGGGCAGCGCCTCTTGGCAGGTCCGGGGCAGCTCCACGGCGGGGTCGAGGGGCAGCGGCCCCGAAGCAAAATCGCTCGGTAGAACAAAAGATGATTGTCGCCTGTAAAAATACTGGTGGGTGTGATTTTACGCTCGAGCGGATTCTCCTACGCTCGAGCGCATCTCAGTTTGTTCGCACGCAGTTTTTGGTCAGTCCGCTCGAGCGGGCTGTGTTGAGCTCGAGCGGAGATCGCGGGACAGATTCTATAAATTCGCGTATTGGGTCAGATTTTTAGGATGACTTCTCCAGATCTTCTTTTTGGTTTCTAGGGTTTATATCTGCGGATACTTTGGGAGTTTTCTTTGATGTTTTATTGAGTATTCAACTCATGTTCTAAAGAGAGTACATCAAAGGTTGTGTTTTGTTCTACAAAATAGAGTGTTGTTCTTCAGTTGTGTATTCTGAAGAATTCGAGCCTGAAGCTTTGGTGGAATCCGGAGTGGCTCATCAGAAAGACAATTCCGTGGTGAAGATGGGGTTGGAAGAGGCACATAGAGGTTGGTTCAATTAGGCGTTGTGGATTCGCTAGGTAATTGAGAGTATACCTGTGTAATTCTTTTAATTCTTCTTAGTGGATTGTTCTTGTGGCTGTTGCCCGTGGTTTTTTGATCACAGTTGGAGGTGTCCAATTGTGGTTTTTTTCCACGTTAAATCGCTGTCTCTTTGTCTTGATTGTTTGATTGTTTGATTGGGATTGTTATATTCTGCTTTAAATTGATACATAATCACAAATCAACATCTAGGGGATTTCTAGATTTTTCAGTACTTTTTTTAGTAGTGATAATTAACAATTTTTATGTATATCAAATTTTTATTATGAAATTTTGTAGATTAATTATTGTTAACATCAACCAAGATAGCCTAACACCATGGTTTGCTGCTATTAAAATATAATTCAAGATTAGAATAATTTATATATCACACAAAATGTATATAGTTTATTTTTTCGTGCATCGCACGGGTTACCGCTAGTACATATTTATAGTATTGTTCTCTTATGGTTGGTATACATATTTATAGTATTGTTTCTTTAATCACAATTAGGGGATTAGTTTGAGAATTGATTATTGATTTTGTGATTGAAATATCTCATTTTGTATTGAAAGAATCACATTATTCGCTCTGATTTATAGCGATCCTCCCATTTATATCACATCTTGTGGTGATTTTCACAAGGCTACATGATAGATGATAGACATCGAACACACGGAGCGTGTGTTCTTTCTCCTGGAACTCGACTCGTTTGGAACAAATTGAAGGGAATGGCAGTTCCGAACTTTATTAGAAAGAGAAGGTGAGTTATTAAAGAGTCGTCCACGCCTATGCATATTTTTTAATAAATAATTAGTTCGGAAGCAGTAATTCAAAAATAAATAATTGGTTCAGAAGTAACTTTTCGAAAATAAATAATTGGTTCAGAAATAGACTTTTGAATTTTTATCATTTTTTCGACATTCAACTTCCGAATGTGTTTGTTTGATGTCCATAATAGTAATTTCACTTGAAAAAAAATTTATAATCAAAATAATTTTTATGAAGTGTGTGCAAAGAGGGGAAGGAGATGTGTAAATAGAAGCTCTTAGCTCCCAAAACTCGCGGGGAGCTTCTATTTGCACACATCCATTTCCCTCTTTACATATTTTTTTTAAATAAATAATTAGTTCGGAAGTAGATTTTCAAAAATAAACAATTGGTTCGTAAGTAGAGTTCAGAATTTTTTTTCATTTTTTCGACATTCAACTTATGAATGTATTTATTTAGGGTGTGTTTGGTAACGTTTACGTTTTCAGTTTATATTTACAAAAATTTTATAAATTGGTTTTTGTTTATTTTTAGAAAAACATAAACTACAAACGCGTTTAGTAATTGACAAAATGTTAAAAAAAATTTAAAAATATAAAAAATAGTGAGAAATGGCAAGTGGCGGCGGAAGACGGTGGTGGAAAGTGGTGACGGTGAGTGGTGGGTAGCTGGTGGTGACGGGTGGTGGGTGTGGGTGGGTGGGTGATGGTGACGAGTGGTGGGTGGTAGCGAGTGGGTAGTGGTGGTGGTGGTGGCGGCGGGTGGTGGGCGATGGTGGCAGGTGGGTGGCGGAATGGCGGGTAGTGGTAGGTGGTGGCGGCGGGTGGTGGTAGGTGGGGGGGTGGGTGACGGTGGTGGTGGTGGGTGGGTGGGTGGATGACGGTGGCAGGTGGTAGTGAGTGGGCGGTGGTGGTGGTAGTGGCGGGGGAGGGGGGGGGGGGGGGGGGGGGGGGGGGGGTGGGGGGGGGGGGGGGGGGGGAGTGGTGGCGGCAGAAGACGGTAGTGGTGGTGGGTGGTGGGTGGTGGTGGCCGAAGACGGTGGTGGAAAATGGTGGCGGGTGGTGGCTAGTGTTGGGTGCGGTATAAAAAAAAAAGGGAAAACTCAAAATGAAAACACATTTTTTGGCCAAATTTATAAACCGAGACTACTGATTTATAAATCAAAAATTTTACCAAATAAGTTTTTATTTAAATTTTTAAAATTTTTATAAACATAAATAGAAAACTAAAAATATAAGTGTTATCAAATGACACTTTAATATCCATAATAGTAAGGCTAAGTTTGGGAAGACTAAGGCCAAGTTTGGCATGATTGAAAAAAGACAAAAAATCAAAAAGTCACTATCTTGTTTAAGTCACATCATCTTGTTTAAGTCACATCACTTCTCTAACACATCACTTCAAGCCCAACCCATATTTCATAAAAAGTCAAAAAGTGCACTTATTTAGTCTTCCCAAACTAGGCCTAAATAAGTGTACTTTTTGATTTTTTTTGTATTATGTGTAGAAAAAATAGAGAGAAAATGTTGATTGATGTGACCCAAAAAAAATAAAAAGATGAAATTAGTATACTTTTTTAGGTTAGCCAAACTTAACCTAATTTTATTTAAAAATAAAATTATAATACAAATAAATTTTATTAAGTGTCTGTGATGAGGAGGATGGGAATGTGCAAATAAAAGCTCCCAAAACTCGCCGAGTGGATCTGTATCGGAGTCCAGCGATGCAAAAGCGTAGCTTGGACTCGCGCAGACTCACTCACTGACAAGAGAGAGAAAGAGGAAGAAGAGGAGAGAGAGGAGAGAGTTGGACAAGGAAACGAAAGCGAAAGAGAAAAAAGAAAAGAAAAGTAAAGCAAAGGAGAGAGACAAGTAAGAAAGGCAAAAAGCTAGACACCTTCTCTCACTCACTCATCACACAGAACACAGTATAATAGATAGAGAAACACTGACATATACACACATATATATATATATATAGAGAGAGAGAGAGAGATCTTTCTCTCGTAGATTGACTGGAATTTTCACATATTTGGTGCGCTCTCTCTCTCTCTCGCTCTCTATATATATTCAGTTGTAGATGTAGATGTTGAGATGCATATAACTGTTGAAATTTTGAAATTCTACATCTTTTTATTGAGAATTAAATCTGGCTACGTTGATTTTGTTCGACTTTGACTCTCTGATCTTTGATTTTATTGACGAAAATGCGAATTGACATTTGAAAATGAGGACTCAAGGTTGTTGTGTTTCAAGTATTGGCTTACTTTGTTGTTTTAGGCTTGATTGTTCGGAATTTATTTAGGAATTAATATATTTGTATGTATTTTATGTATTATTTTATTTTATTTTATGTTTTTTGGGAGAAGATTTGAATACATGATGTGCATTGCATGTGTTTGTTGTTTTGATGAGTATACAATGTTGAAAATCACATGACTACTTGACATCACTTCACAATCGGTTTTGGGTTGTTCCTGATAAGTTGTGATTGCTTCTTTGCAAACATGAGGTGGAAAAAATTTCAAATTTTTTCTTTGGTGTGTTCTTTTGTTGAATATAACGCAGAAAGCGTAGAACTTGCTGTTTCCCAAATCAAGATTATGAAAAGAAGTCTTGTGCAATCTGCAAGAAAAGACTGGAATGACCTACCTGAAAAATTCCCATTGTCACTGGCCACTTCAAAACATTATCCTCTCACCTTTAATCTCCAATTCATTTAGAGATGTACACAAATCATCCACTGCCACCTATTCTCAGTTGTACCCCTTTCTAATAAAGCTAGTTTTCCAAATGATCCATTGGTCAGTAATCCCCAAATAGTTAGAAACAAAGGTATTTCTATCAACAACAATGCTAAACAGGTTTGGAAAAGCCTCTTGCAGGGGATACTCTCGGCACCTCATGTCAATGCTAAAATTGTACTCTCCAACTGTTAACAATCCAAACCCTCAAATAGCTATGAAAATATATCCAACTTTTCCTAATCCTTTGAAGCGTTAACTCCAGAAAAACCCTGAACCTCCTTGCAGGTCCACCCCCTTGGTTTGACAACAAATTTACAGTCAACCACCCTTCTCCATAAGCCTTCTTCATTCAATATATCTCTCCAAAGTCATTTCCCCATATTAAAACTTGGTTAAAAAGTTTTAAGTGATGAATACTTGAACCTCCATTCATGATAGGAGCACTCATTTTTCCCTAGTCCACTTAGTGGTACTTGAATTTGTCTCCCATTAACTTCTGATAAATAATTTCTCTTAAGTTTCTGTAGCCTTTCTACCATTGAATTAGGAACAGTGAATAAATATATATAGCAAGTTGGAAGACTAGCAAGAGTACTTTTAATTAGTCAATTTTCCATCCTTTAAGATATTGTTGTTTCTAACTTGCTAATCCCCTCTCGAACTTCTCAACCACATCGTCTACCAACCCTAGGTATGCCGAAATGGGAAAGCCCACTTTGAAACCCAAGCCCATAGCTAACCCTTGAATATCCTGTACATCTCCCATTGAACTAAGCTCGATTTCCCTATTATTCACTCTCAAACTCAATAGGTTTGCCTAGTCGGGCTTAATGCATCCATGGTTTACAAAGATCGTCAAGCTCATGATGATTAAGCACTTCCCTATTGTGTTGACAAAATATTTAATATAAACACATATCTTGGGTTTTGTAGTTATGCAATATGCCCAGTAGATGATGTAGGAAAAAATTAGAATATAGCTTAAGGCAGTCTACAAGTGGATTGTTGTGGTGGGTTTATGGTTGGAGTAGATTCTAAGATTTAAGATTCTAAATGTTAGAAGTATATCTCTAGTGTTTATAGATGGAATATATGATTTTGGCTTGAAAATTGTAGGAATCTTCTAATTAATCGCTTGAATTCTGTAGACAACTACTTTATGGTGTTATGGGTGTGGACTTAATAGTCAAAAGTGTTATTGCTTGTCTAGGCTTGATCTGTGGTGTTTCAGTTCTGCAAAAGGAGTATTATTGGGTTGTGAATAATAACCTGAGACCAATAGTCTCCTTTCTTGTGCGGAGAAGAAGGGGAAGAAGAAGGAAAGAAAGAGAAAAAAGAAAAGGGCGGGCTAGCAAAATCTCAAAAATATAATACCAAATTCTCTTGAATTCAACTCCATAGAAGAGAAGAATCAAGACATACTGAAAACCATATAAACAGCACCAATCTTAACTTGACCAAAATTATGAACCGTGGACCCAGACCACTTTCATTGTCCAGAAATTGAAAAATTACCAAAATGCGATTGACACTAAAAACATGTAACAAAATATAAAGACAAACGACCTGTACTATAGTGATAAAGGGGATACTTAGCACTGTCAGCCCCACATTTTTTTTTATACCTTGGGATTATCGTTCTATCATTCTATGTTTGGTTAGAGTATTTAAATTTTTTTTTATGTTTGGTTAGAATGGGATACATAATGACATGATTTGGAGGATTATTTGACTGTTGGATGGAGAAGGGAAGATAATCCGGAAGGGGATTATTTATCCCATGGGTGGGGATTATTTATCCCAAGTTCAGTGGGAATTACAAGTTTGGCTCCAAAGTGGCCACCCAAACATGGGAAGGGCCTGATTGGGGTACATGTGGGCCCCATATATATTTTTTTAGCTATTCAATCTCCATCTCCATCCCCATCCCAATCCCACAAAACAAACACAACATAGCTAAAATTATGACTCTAAAACACTGTAAAGGATCAAAACAAACACAACATAGCTAAAATTATGACTCTAAAACACTATAAAGGATCTCCCTTTTATACCAAAAAGCATTTTTGTGGGGTGTAGAGGTTATATACTTGCTGTTAGGCTTCTTAACCAAAGCTATAACTGTCGCATACTGACTTTGGGACCAGAAAATTATCATTACTTTACAATGTTTTTAATACAATCATTCATGAACAATGTACTCATTTTCATACTGCTTGATTTTAGTTAGTGCTTTACATAGCTGCTATTTGTAGTTTGTGTTATTTGACCTCCACATTGGGCAAGTTATTTTTGACCCAAATTTCTGTATTGTGTAGTACTTCTAAGCGTGTAGTCTCTGGAACTGGTGTCCAATTTATGTCAACAAAATAAAAGATTAAGATGTTTATTTTGTTGCTTGGTTGTTCACTTTACCTACAAACAAATTAATCTCTAAATTAATTGATTGTCTCCATGGCAGGGGAAAGTTCAATTGTATCTTGAATGGACCGGTGGTAGTATTCAGAAGAATTTTCTTTTTCTTCAACATATGAGGGCTTAAATGAATACTGAAGATGGTCTGAAGGAACTTCACATGCAACTGGTCAGACCAGACTAACCCTACTGAGCTGAGTTACAACCTAAGATTTGTGTGCAATTCTACGTGCATGTATTGAATCTTATAATTTTGTCCGTGAGGGGCGATGCATCCTGTGCTAATTCATAGCTATCTTTGCTGGTGTATTTTGTCTGGACATATTATCGCGTCGGTGCTTTCCTTTAGTTCAGGGCAATATAGGGGTAGGACCATTGAGTCAGAAAATGGGTTAACTAACTACGCTGGTTCCTTGTTAAGTAATGGTTCTGATATCAGCACCTCTATCTATATTCAAACATCAGGTTCTTCATCCCTGTCTAATGATTCAGTATCTTGTGAGGAACTGGAAGGTGTTGGATCATTCAACACTACTTGCCTGCTGAATTCAAACTTGTATTTGAATACTGATCTTTATGTGTTTGGTACTGGGAACTTGAAGATACTTCCTAATGTTTCAATTGTGTGTCCAATAGAAGGCTGTTTGATAAACTTAAATGTATCTGGATATGTTAAAGTGGGTCCATATGCTGCTGTTGTTGCTGGTTCTGTTGTTATTTCTGCTGCCAATCTGACTATGGAACATAATTCTTCTATAAATACAACATCATTGGGTGGATCACCACCTTCACAGACTAGTGGTACACCAGTGGGTTATGAAGGAGCTGGTGGAGGGCATGGTGGCCGAGGTGCATCCTGTTTGAAAAGTAATCAGACAAATTTCTGGGGGGGTGATGTTTATGCTTGGTCTACTCTGGCTACACCGTGGTGTTATGGGAGTAAGGGTGGTGGCACTTCTGCTGAACATCAGTTTGGAGGGAGTGGTGGAGGACGCGTTATGCTTGACGTGAAGGACATGCTCTTTTTAAATGGATCTGTAACTGCAGAAGGAGGGGATGGAGGTTCTGATGGGGGAGGGGGTTCTGGTGGAAGCATCATTATACATGCCTTGAAGCTGTAAGTACATACTAATCCCTGCTCAAAACAATCAAACACTGGAGCTCTTTTAATTGTATTTCTTTTCTTTTTGGAGGTGTAGCAATAAACATGAGTTATGGGTTTGCACGAAAAGTAGAGATGCAAAAAACATTATCACACAGAAAGTATACATCACTTCACAATGTGAACTTCACATGGTTAGATTCATAGGCAAAGATGATCAAGTAGCTTCTCCATGGGAAAGGTGATTTCAAGATAGTCACTTCCAAAGTCTTTAACCCATGCTTATGACAACAAAATAAGTTCTCCATTAGAAAATCCGCCTTCTCCACTCCCCCAATTGCCTTTTATACATATTTGGGTCATATAGAAGAAAATACCAATTTGACAATCTGAAACCAAATCCAAAAATGCGTTAAATATTTCAACGACACTGCATATTTTCATTGTTTTTAAAAGTTAGAATTTAATTGTCTATTTTTATGTCTGATTTGTCATTAAACCACTAAACCAGCCAAAAGGAGCTTCCTTCTACGTGCCTTTCAGATTTTTCTGGAAGGATAGAGAAAGCTTTAATGCTTTATTTGTTTGGTACTTTTATCTTGTATGCTTTATTGGGATTTTTCTTTGATAATAGGAGATGTGTTTATGTGCTGCATTGTCAATTAAATTTCATATTTTTATTCAACAGATGGGTACACAACTGGTGATTCTCTTGATGAACCAATAAACTCTTGCACTGTTGGTTTACATGTTTATGATGGTTAAATGATCGGTCTCACCTCTGATTTTATGCAATGAGTTCCTCTAAATTATCCCAAATAAAAAGGGCGTCTCTAGTTGCATTCCACATTTGGTATAGCTACTGCTTTGCTCTTTCTCAGTCGTGGGGTATTGGAGTTAATAATTTGTTTTTTTTTTGGGGTTCCCCTTGGGGTCATGATTCATGATTATGAAGTATTATCCCTGTCATGAAAGAACATTTTTTTTAAAGATCAAATGATGTTAAGTGAATTGAAGGGAGCCAAGTAGAGCATATGTTACATTCAGTCAGATTAATCACAATAACGCAAGTAGCTGTCTAGCTTGGGTGTAATATCCTGCTCCATCATGTGAAGGAGCTAGCTGCAGGTTGCAATCGAGGGGGGCCATGTGTGATAGTAGGGATTTATAGGTTGAAAATGGATATTCCCTGTTGTGCATCCAACACCATTTGAACCCATGCTCTGGGGGAGGGGGTTAAGGGAGGAGGGGTGGGCAAAGCAAAGAGATTAACCATATCAGCTCTGTTATAAACCAAACCAAACCAAACCAAGCCTTAAGTCCCATCAAATGGGGTCGGTTACATGAATCCTTCTTCATAAGGGATCCGAGCGGCTTTTTTACGTGTTGGCTGTCGGCTACCTAACACACAACCCTCCTTCTTAACCCGGGCTTGGGACCAGCGGAGTTGAGATTAGAACTGTGATCTGGGAATATGTCAAGTTCAAATTCTAAAAATGCTCCAATGTTATTGTTGCAAGGGAGGGAGGTATACGTTGGTACAATCCGTATCTGTTCCTATTTATTTCTTGTCGCTTTTCAAAGTTCCGGTTAGTATTGCAAGAAAGATTGAGAAATTGATAAGGGATTTTCTCTGGGAAGAGTGTGAGGAGGGTAAAGGAGTTCATTTGGTTAGGTGGGAGAGTGTTTCTCTTTCTAGGGCAAAGGGTGGCTTGGTTATAGGAAACATCGTTGCTAGGAATAGTGCTTTATTGGGCAAATGGTTGTGGAGATTTCCTCTTGAAAGTGAGTTGTTATGGTGTTCAGTTATTAAAACCAAGTATGGAATTCAATCCAATGGTAGGGATTCTAAGGTGGTTAATAGAGGCAATTGTTGTTCTCCGTGGAAATCCATTTCTCGTTTGTATCCTCTTGTGTCTAATTGTCTTTCATTCAAAGTGGGGAATGGGGAGAATGTTCGGTTTTGGGAGGATGTTTGGTTAGGGGATATTTCGTTTGTTAGATCTTTTCCCCTTCTTTACAGGTTGACTCATTCTCCAAATGTGTCTATAGCGTTGGTGGCTTGCTCGTCTATGACACCTATATCTTGGAATTTTGATCTCATTAGAAACTTGAATGATAGGGAGGCGGGGGAATTGGCTTCTTTGTTGGTTGTGCTCGAGGGGGTTTCTCTTTCTTCGTCTTCTGATAGTAGGGTGTGGAATCTTGTCTTTTCTGGGGTCTTTTCATTCAAATCCTTTTTTGATAAGATTATTGATAATCCCTCGGTTCCCTTGTTCCCTTTTCATAAGAAACTTTGGAAAGCGGGTGTTGCTCATAAAGTGAAGTTTTTCATGTGATCTTTGGCTCAAAAGGGTGTTAAAACTAATGATGTTCTTTAGAGGAGAAGGCCTAATCACTCTCTATGCCCCCAATGCTATGTGATGTGCAACAGTAATTTGGAGGTAGCGGATCATCTTTTTCTTCATTGCCCGGTGGCTACAGTATTATGGTAGCGTCTTTTCAGGTTCTGTGATGTGCAGTGGGTTGCTCCACGGGAGTGTATGCATATGCTTCTTATTCGCTTTGATGGGTTTGGGAGTACCAAGAAAGTCAAAACGATGTGGTTAGGCATTGTCTTTGCTATTTTCTGGGTTATATGGTTGGAGAGAAATGTTCGAATTTTTGAAGACAATGAAGTAAGTGTAGAGGCTTTGTGGGATAGGGCTGAATATTTGGCTTCTTTTTGGGCATTTGTATCTCCTCCTTTTAAAGGAGTCCCTTTGTTTTTGATCTCTAGGGATTGGGCTGCTGTTTGCCATTCTTAGAGTTTAGAGTTTTGCGATTGGTTTTGCTTTTTCTTCTTCTTTTTTTCTCTCCTTGTAAGAGGACTTCTTGTCCTCTCTCTCTTTCCCGTTTTAATAAAATTTTGTTGTTATTCAAAAAGAAAATTAACTTCTCCGATTTGATTTTTTTATGACAACTACCCTCTAGTGTTACATGTTGCTCTCGTGTATATTTTGATTGAATTTTGTATTTATCTAGCACAAAGCCTTTGTAGCAACGAGCATGATTCTTAGGGATTTATTAAGAATACACTCTTTACACTATTACAAAATACCCCAACAGGCTTGTGTATTGAGAAAAGCTGCTGAAAATGGATCATTACCTTTTCATTTTTTATTATATGGCACCAAGTGAAATAGTTTTGTTTTGTTTAGTTCTTGTTTCTTAGCAGCATTTTCAATACTATTTTGTTTCTGATTTATTTGTTTTTCTTTAACTTGAGAAAGATGCTAAAGGGATGAACTTAATACCAGCGCATTTTTGGTTATAGACACTAGAACAGTCATAAACTAGTTATGTTCTCATATCTACTGTATAGATACTTGCCAGTTCAATTTTTTTTGTTCTTATTTTTAATTGTATAGGAAGGGATTCGGTACTATAAGTGCAGCAGGAGGGAGGGGATGGGGTGGAGGTGGAGGCGGAAGAATATCACTGAATTGTTACAGCAGACAAGAAGACGTAAAAGTCACTGTGCATGGTTTGTACTGATCATATCTGCATCTGGCAATTTTTAGTAGAAGCAACTATTTCTTATCAAACTATTAAATTCACTCTTATGTGAGATTCTCAACTTGCTTTGTTAAATAAATTTTTGCATTTTCGAACTGTTATGAACAAAAAATTATGTACATATTTATGGGAAACTTGGAAAGGAAATGTATAAAAAAAAGACACATAACAAGAGTTTTTAAATACTTGGATCAATTTTAAAGTTGGAGGGTGAGATGTAATTGTTTGAATATATGAGTGAGTTTTTAAATACTCGGATCAATTGTAAATGTCACTCATGCCAGCTCCATAGACCAAAGGACTCTAAACAGCAGCTGATTGCTTAAATCTGGCACCAATACTGGAGAGATGCCACAGAAGATCACACGAAAGAAAGGAAATATTCTACTTAATGCACTTTGCATTGCTAAACCAAGAACCTGATGGCTCCCTCTGTGAAGAACTATGACTCATTATTAGCGATCAATACTGTTTAGGGCCTGGCCTTTCCCACACAAAGCTGACCACGTGTATGTAGGAAAACTTTGAAACCCCTTTGGCCATCAGTCCTCCTTCCAATTCCTAATCAGAGGCCCTCAGAAAACTTCAAATATCTTCAAAATTTATGGAAAAGGCCCAGAAAACCATGAGTATGACTAAATCTACTTAGAGAAAGAACCTCATTCATATGGATGTTGACACCAGCTGTATGAACATCATCAGTGCCTCTGGAGTTTGACATATATTTTTTCAATTGTTTATGCCTAAAACTATTCAACTTGGTACTAACTTGTAATTCAAAGACTTTAAGAAAATATATTTAGACAGATGGAAAAAGGTTCAAAGATTTTGAAGGGAAGGGTGGTTTAGTTGAGAAGAAGATGAGGAGGGAGAGGAAAGCAAAGTATAAGGAGGGAAGTGGCATTGGGAATAGGGAGACATGGAAGAGATGAAGAATTTCTTGGAAGGCCAATGGTATTAGAAGGCAAACCGTAGTACCTACTGGTGTTTCCAAAAACTGATGTACAGAGGTTCTAGTCTATGCTTGGATTTCCAAAGTAGTTGAATTCTTTGATTAGGTTTTCTAACACAATTTGATGTCAATCCACTTAAATTCAGGGTTCATTGTCCTTGTTGGAACCTTGAATTTTCCTGCTTCTTAAGAATTTAACTTTAATGCTGATGAGCTTCACATGTGAAAATATACCAATGCCATGGTGAGGCTGCATCTAATTGTATTCTCCACATGTGAAACTAGACACATGTATGCATGATTGTTTTATGAATATTTGAACCTTATTCTGTCTGCATATTGAATATTGGAGATACTTACCGACAAAAAGCTCAGTTACCTTAAATAGATACTTAGTTTTCTTAAGGTCACTCTTGGAAATATCAATTTTTTGGGGTGGTTTTCAGTTATGCTACATGATCTATATTTGCTCTGACAGGTGGTTATAGTATTGGCTGCCCTTGGAATTCAGGAGCAGCAGGCACCTACTATGATGCCTCAGTACTGAGTTTAAAAGTCGGGAATGACAATATTACAACAGAAACTGAAACACCCCTGCTGGATTTTCCTACCAGTCCACTGTGGTCAAATGTTTATGTGGAGAACAATGCAAAAGTTTTGGTGCCTCTGCTTTGGACCAGAGTTCAGGTTGTCAAGCCATAGTCTCCTTGAAATATAAGTTTGTATATAGTGATGTGTATACACATTTATTTGCTTTCTCATGACTGCATTAAATTTTATTGTCTTCTTTGTATGCACTAAAAGACATTGCCATAGAGATTCCTCCTATCTTTGTATTCAACTCCTTTAGTGTCTCTCCTTGTATGCATAAAGTGAAACGTATATCTCAACTGATGGTTTTATATACATTTAGCTCTCTTTCTGATGTTCATGATGACTGCCTGGCAATTTCGTGTTTTTGAGTGTTGGAGTCTGTGATTTGTTCACTGAAAATGGGCAATTGTGCAGAATTTAGACATTTTACAAGTTTGATTCAATTCTAGTGGGTGGTTGTGTTGGAAAACCACTAGAGTAGTTTCCATTGTCTTTTATGAACTTGCAAGACAGCAGCGTGAGTAAGGCTTTGAGAATTCTAGCAATGTATGTGGCCTTGAGGAGCCTAGATTTAATGGTGGTATGTTTGATATGTTAGGAATTGATACACCTAACCAGGATTGGTGAGACACGAAACATAGACAAGAATAGAACAAGAATCTAAATCAAGCACACAAGAACACAAAGATTTGCATGGTTCACCCCCAAATCGGGTTATGTCCATGGTTGCTGTGGTTTCACTACAATTTGAAGAAAGTTGCAATACAATATAAAGAGATGTGGCACTTAAACTATAAATACATAATATTAGGGCAACAAGGCAGAATTGTGAAATACCAAAAATACCCTAACTCCAAAACTTAGGTGGTTAGTGTTTAACACTTATCAGGATTTACTCTACCCAACATAATATAATGGTCAGGGACTCAGGGTGGCTTTACCACCTATGGTTCGAGGAAGTAGAGAGATAACTAGTAGTTGTGGAAGTTTTCTCACGTCTTGAGGTGATTTTCATATCAATCTCTATTTTGGGTATCTCCTTTGCTTGGGCACTACTTTTTTAAAGTCGTCAAAAAAACTTAAGAGTCTGTGATTTGATGTGTATAAACACAATACGATAAAAAGAGATTTCACTCTGCAGTTCTTTGTATCCCAAAAAAAGAGAGAAAAGAATAAAGAATAAAGGAAATTGGGTCACTCTATTTTACTATTAGTCTACATTGCCAGCTCTTTCAAGGTTTTTTTAAAATAAAAAAAGAAATGAAAGTAATTTAGGTCTTTGTGATGTGCTCTACTTTTTGTCAATTCCTATATTGCAAAATAATTTTTTCTTTCATATGAAATAATTTTTAATATTCGCTGCTTGAATCACTTTCTTTGTTCAAGGGAATCCAACCTTTGGTGATAATTATTATTATTTTCTATTATGTTTTGTTTCTCTCTCTCTCTAATTGCGTTACAATTGAATGTTTAATATAAACTAGTTTTTAAGATTCTGTTACAACCTTTGGGTTTTAAAGGTGAGAGGTCAAATTAGTTTACTTTGCGGGAGCAGCATCATCTTCGGATTGTCTGATTATCCAATCTCAGAATTTGAGGTTGTTGCAGAAGAACTTTTGATGAGTGATTCCAGCATAAAGGTAAGGGTTTTACTTGTAAAATACGAAATTTTAATTTACGTTCTGTCTCATGTAGTTGTATATTTCCATATTAGTTTTTCATGACTGTCTGAGTTGAATGGTGAAAGGGATGGTTGTATACCCGAACCGGTAGATATACAGCTTGAAATTGAGTACCCGCTGCAAGATGAGTGCTTTTTTATTTTCTGTTGATTTTTCTCGTCTTAAATTAAGATTATGTTTGTCTTAAATTTTTTTTAAGGCTTAATAACACAGTCAGGTCAGTTAGACCCAGTGGTTTCAGTACTATTTTTTTCTTTTTGAACAATAGGCATACACACCTTTTAAAAGTGTTTCTATTCACTCTTTTTTCTTATTCTACTCTGTTTTGGATTGCTAGGTTTATTGTCAAGAGAGAAGATATTATAGTTTCTAAATAATTTTATGATTGATGGGATTTGGACTCACATCTTTGTTATGAAGGCAACGTCTTCCAAAGTAGATAGTGTAATAATGTCCTTATATGAGGCAATTGTAGCACGTGTGATAATCAATTTAATTTTTTTTTATACATATGATTGTTTAACATCATTTTGTTAATCGTTTGTGCCGAATCTTACTATTCTCGGTCCATTTTGATTCGATTCATAATACCCAAAATTAGGATTTCAATTCACCAATATGATTTTTGATTTGACAACTATGCATATGCCCATGCGTTTCATCGACGGGGTGATACTTTTTCTGTTCCATATAATATCACTCTACAATTAGGGCTTGACACTAATGAAATGAGTTTGGTTATTGTTTTAAAGCCTATCCTATCAACTTAATGGGTTCTATTTGGCTGTGGCTCAGTGGGTTTTTTGTTGTAGAAATAAGTGGAATTTGTTTGAAACATAAAACTGTATAGAGTGTAAGAATCATGCAAGCACTGGTGGAAAGCAAGAGTAGTCTGTCTTTATGGTTTAGACCATAAATTTTTTCTTTAATAGAGGTGGAATGATGGAATGATTGAGTCAAGATGTGTTGATCAGCTTGTCGAAGCTTGCTCTACACAGGTTGCTTTAGACCATTAGATTCCTGAATTGGGATGGCTAAACTTAACACTAATACTATTTTAAGTCCGAATTTCATTTATTGGGAAGGGAGAAGCATAAGGTTGAGGTAAACCTTCATAAGCCAGGCTGAATTTAAACACTGATACATTGCATGATTGGGCCAGTTTTAATGGAGTTTGAGTCAATCAGCTTTATTTTTAGCTCTAATACAAGTTGCTAAGACCATTAAGTGCACATGTTGAGTTCAGCTCTACTTTGATGGGTCAATATGATCCTGCACACTAGTTCATAAATGCTCAAATGTTTAAAATTGACAATCCTCTGATTCTACTAGATGAAGAAAGAGGAAAGAGTATAATTGAGGAAAAGAGAAAAGAAAAAGATAACAAACAAAGTTAAAGCTTTAAGTTTGAAAGCTGGAACGCTTTTGAAGTCTCAGTAGAGTTTGATTTGTTTGGGAGGTTTATGGGGGCAATTTCGTAACTGGTTACTGATTCAATTTTTTATAAAGGCTCTTAGTTGTAACCCACAGTATAGTTAACTCAATAAGTTTAGGCTCTTTAGTTGGAATGTGTTACTTGTCAATGTGATTTGATTAATAGTTCATTGCATGATGGTTGATGTTTTCCTAGGATTGGCATTCAGTATTGATCTATTTTTAATCTGTTTTTCATCTCAGATGGTTTAATTCACTTTATGCAATGAATCCATGTGACTACTTCAGTGAGGGATGTGAACATTCTTGCACTAAAAGGAAAAAATTCAACTTAAATGGTATAAATGTACCAAATTGTGATAAATATTCTGAAAATATGAAAGGGCTGAACTCTACCTAGACTTGGAAGTTAGAGCAATTTGGAAATAAAAGTAAGCGAAAACAATGACTAAACAGACCCCTGGCTATGTTACTCTTGTATTTGTATTGTTGCTTATTTGGTCTACATAATTCTCTCTATTTTTTTAAACAAATTGCCCCTTTTAATATTTTTCCTTCATCTGGTTTTCTTTTTCTTGCCAACCTAAGAAGTGCACCCTAATTTTCGGATTCCTCATCAAGTTGCAACTTATTTTATCTAGCATTATCAATATGACAATATGTAATACTCTAAATTTTTCCTTTTGTATTTCTCATGTGAGGGATATAACCTTTGTTGTCATCCTTTTCTTTCTACAAAGGTATTTGCTAACTCTTCTATTGGTACTCTAATATAGCTCTTTCTACAAATGAAGGTTTATGGTGCATTTAGAGTGTCTGTCAAAATGTTACTCATGTGGAACTCCAGAATCGAAATCGATGGTGGTGGAACTGTTACTACTTCCATCCTTGAAGTGAGGAATCTTGTTGTTCTTACGGTATGGCTTTTGGAACTCATCCAATTTTGTTGGCAAAATCAGTATGAGGTTTTCATTATTATTCCTTGTCTTTGGCAGGAAAACTCAGTCATCAGTTCAAATAAAAACTTGGCTGCTTATGGTCAGGGACTTCTGAAGTTGACTGGTCATGGTGATGCAATTAAAGGCCAGCGACTTTCCTTGTCACAATTTTATAACATTACTGTAAGATATTCATTTACCAATGTGTTATTTGCTCTTTTTTGCATGGTTAATTATGAGGATTTTGAATAAGAACGTGTCTTTGTTAAGTAGTGATGGATGCTATGCTAGGAACATTAACAGCAGATTAAAACATCAAGGACCCTTTTATCGGTTTTTAGTGTGTTTGTATGGACAATAATTGGAGAGTTGAAAGAAAGTTTTTATTTCTGTTCCTGCACTCTGAATTAACTAAAGACCAGGGGGAAAAAAAAAGGGATCTATCTGAGCATTAAACCAAAAGATTGCAAAGATTGCAGGGATAATTTAAAAGAGGTTGCTATCTGCTGATAATGCAACATGCTTGGGTGGGAGTCCCCTTGGGGGCTTGAAGACGTTTTTGTTAAAATCCACCTACTCTCCACCTACTTCACCCACTTAAACCTACTCCACTAAACCTAACCCACTACACCACTACCACCTCACCTACTCCACTAAACCTAACCCACTACACCACTACCACCTCCACTTCACCTACTCCTTACCTACTACACACTCACCCTCTTCTATATATAGGAATCATGAATCATTGTAATATATATCAATATAACATTACATCAATCAATAATAATACATACAATTTATTCTCTCTCTTTCTCTATACATTATTTCTTACAGTTTTCATAAATAATCTTCATATCCTGGTCAGCACCTGAAAGAAAACGTTTCGGTTAGGAACATGGTGGAATGTACTTGCCATACCCACCAAAAACTATATGCATATGTATATATATAGATATATAAATGTTGCCAGGGGTAAGTCAAATGTTCTGTGAGAACTATTAAATGGAATGTTGTTTGTGACAGAGAAAAACATTATGATCTCTCAAGCATGTAATTACTTCTCGGCTTTCTTCCTACGGAGCACTATTGATTTAGGAGCCACTGGCAGTAAACTGCACCTCTCTATCATTTGGTTTTGTGCTTTGAGTGACTTTGTTGGGAATCATTCATCTGATGGTGATGGTAAGGTATTTGAAAAACGTGTTGTCACATATTTTCTCCTTTCGGACTATCATTTAAAAGCAAGATAATGCCCCTAAATTTTACTTATAAAAAAGGCTGCTAAATTAACAATGTTCAATAAGAAGAAAACAAAAAGAAACGGCTCCTAAATTAACAATGGTCAATAAGAAGAAAACAAAAAGAAGAGATTATGTAATTGAGGGATCATAAGGTTTGAGGAGATTGGGATTTGGAATTATGTGACCCTATTGTTTTGTTAGGTTGTATAGTTTTTTCTTACATTGGTTTACATAAAGGATTGGCTTTGATTTCCTATCTTCTACATTATAGATGAACTTAATAGGCTTATTCAACAGGATGTACCTAGCTGCATGTTGTTTGTTGATAAGATAGTTTTATCAATGAAATTGCATGTGGGTTACTTCTTAGTTTGGAGACATACTTCAAAATCTAAAAGTTTAATATCAAGTTGGAGTGAGGCAAGGTATATGATTTGGGATTTAGCGATGTCACAAATAGAATGAAAGATATAATGAAACTTGTCGGCTAGGCTATAGTTACGTGTGACCACTCCTGGTATCTTTGGATAGCATATTGTTTTATGCTTTCACTTTGCCATCTTTGGAAAGCATGAAAGAGTGATGACTCATGAACTATATGATCAAATCCTCCAATCTCCTCACCTCTTGCACAGTCTTTGCCATTAACTAAAAGAGTAGTTAAACAAGTATGTATCTGATATTTTGTGGGTTTTTACCGAAAAATTCAGTTTCTGCAAAAAAAGCAGTTGTCTGCTGGTACACAACTCATGCTTGTTTGGGATTGGTTGAAAGCTATCTTATATATCTTTTGAATTAGTTTATGTTAATATAATTAAAGCATTTTTCTTATTTCTTTATTAATTTTATCATATTTGTTGTTGCCCTTTGATTTATACAATATTACATTTCTTATGTATATTGACAGGTTGGGCCAGGATCTCTACTTCAAGCGCCATTGGATGACGATGGTAGTAAGAGCGCGTGAGTATGAAGTTGACTCATGTTTCATTACTGCTGATTGTTGTATTCATTTAGTGTCAGAAGAAATGTGTAGTCTGCAATTTGAATTTTCCCCTTTTTTTTAGGGTAACCAAATTGCGTTGCGAGAGTCCAGCATGCCCAGTGGATTTAATAACTCCACCTGATGATTGCCATGTTAATTACACACTATCATTTTCACTGCAAGTAAGATACAATTTTTGTACTTTATAAACTGCCTGGAATTTTTTCTGTTTGTACATGTGTGGAATTTTGTGGCTAACAATCTCATCAGATGAAAAATAACCTTGATTGGAGTTTTGACCTTCATATCAATTGGAAACCATGTACAAAAGGCAGGGTTATGGATTGAAATGGAATGTAAAACTAGATTGTATCACTATTAAAAATTATAGCAACTGAAAAATATGTACCAAAAAGCAGGGTCATGTATTGGAGAGGAACATGCAGTTAGATTCAACCATGCCTGCACTACTTGCCCAAAACCATGATTCATGTCCTTTCCTTTAAACTCATTTTACTGTCCATGTCTTATCCTTTTTTTGGATCAACTAGAAGCTGTTAGACACTTTTCTACTCTAGTTGCAATAGTCTAAACCCTTAGGTTAAGCTTATAACTGGTAATGATGAATTTTCAAGCTTGAGCAATTGCTCTTGGACATTAACTTTTAATTGTCTTATATCATAGGATTGCTAGTTATTCACCTTGTGTTAAAAGTTTGCACTGAGCATGTTGAATTTTGTTTATGAAGGTTCTTTGCTTTGTTTCATTATATTCTTGTTCTTAAGCATTTCAGCATCATCTCCGCCCAGAGCACCAGTGGGATTGTGCTTCATGATATATGATCAAACAAAGCCATATTGGGCTTATTGAACATTCCCTTTGCCCCATCTCTTTTTTCTGGTTATCAAGAGATGAAAGGCACATCTAAATTATTGAATGCTTACATTAGCCTTACTAGATATTTTGCAGGTGACATTGTTTCTCATAATTATGATTTGGACAGTCGGAACATAGCGGGCAGGTTGAGGTAGTGATTGATCCATTTTAATAAATAGAGAACTGTGGGAAGGGGAGATAAGGTGAGATTGGGAGTGTCCAAATTAGTAAGTTGAGGGAAAATCATTCTATGAAGTTTTTCCCAGCTTCAAAAGACTTTCTTTCCAAAGGTTTTTGTGGTATGAAAGCACCTTTCCTAAGTGAGTTTTTATGCTTTGCTTACCCTGGGAAGTTCCTCATGTTAGATAATTGGAGAGGTAGAGACAAACTGGTTTCACAAGTCTCTTTGTCACGAGCTGCGAGTTTGACTATAGCAGCTTGCTTGTCTTATAGTTGTTCTATAAAATTTTCTTTTCAATTTTGTCCATTCAGTCACTTGCATAATATGCTAGAAGCATTCCTCCACATGAGCTAATTATTTTGCTTTTTGTTTTGTATGGTGTTCAATTTAAATAATTAAATTGTAGAAGAAGATATACTTTCTGCAACACGGTTCCACCCCATTGAATTTAATTGTTTTGTCCCCACATCTCTTGTTAGTATGTATATCCAATATCTAATTTGAACGGCCTCAACTAAACAACCGTTTTAAAGTGTCATAGAATTGCTTGAGAATAAGAGGTAAACAATAGTTATTGTGTGAATTATGAGGTAAACATTAGAGCATGAAATATTAATACATTAAAACAGAGCATTATATCTGGTATTGCTTTTGGGATCTCTCATTTTGTTTCTCTTCTTGCATTGGCATCTTCAGGATGACAAGCTTGTGTTTGTTAGCTGTAGATAATTGAACACATCCTATTTTGTGTCAATTGAGACCATCATCATATTCTTGCTCATAATGGAGACACAGATAATTTCAAACTTGTGGAACTCTTCCGTGCCACAACATTGGGATATTTTACCATGATAACTACCATCATTTCAGATATTTTGTAACATTGGGATATTCTGTATGCTCATAGTTGATATCATTGTGTTATTTTGCTCATTTCATATTCTTGGCAATGAGTGTCCACCAAAAATGCAATTATTGCTTGACCACTGCAGAATGAAATGAACAAAATAACTGGAAGACTTGTATTTTCTTTCTGTTTAAGCTTCCAGTTGATGGATCACATACATTTGGCAAAATAACTTTTCATTTCATGGTTTAACTTTTGCAGATTTGCCGTGTTGAGGATATTCTTGTGAATGGCCTCATTAAGGGAAGTATTATTCACATTCACAGGGCAAGGACTGTCATTGTTGATACTGGTGGCATGATTAGTGCATCAGAATTCGGTAAGTTTCATGTGATTTAATAGAGCCTGATTTACTTAACATATTCTATGTAAAAAGCTTTTATATTATTTTGCTCTAGGTTTTCAGTATCTCAAGGTTCTATAGTAAAGAAGTCTTTGATTTATGAGAAAAATGCCTATAAGTTTCAGACTCAAAGGAGACTCTTTTTCAGGATGCAGAAATGGTATTGGTAAAGGAAATTATTCGAATGGAGCTGGTGGTGGTGCTGGACATGGGGGAAGAGGGGGCTCAGGGTTTTTCAATGGGTTAGTGGCTAAAGGTGGTAATAGATATGGTGATGCTGATCTTCCCTGTGAATTAGGAAGTGGAACTGAGGGCCCTAATGACTCTAATGGAAATGTAGCTGGAGGTGGAATGATTGGTAAGCATTTCTACAGAGCTCTCAACTTCCACCAAAATTGAAAAAGAAAAAGAAACAGATTGTTAGTAACTTCCATGCAAATGCAATACTTCGTTTTTAGTTCTTATAAACAAAAGCTGAATGAGTTTTCTAAAGTCAACTTACATTTTGGTGCACCAAGTGCTAGTACAAATCAGCATGTTATTTCTTGTGTTATACATCAGTAAGTTTTTCTTAGGAAAAACTTTCTGTCTTTGCTGTTAGTGTGAGGGCTTTTCCTTAGTCTGAGATATCTGGTGTACCAGTTATTGTGCTTAGAAGTAAAGCTGGGGTAGTCAGGTACACATTTGTGTGTATATCAACAAGCCATGACTAACTATGGGCTTTGCCACGACTTTTATAGGGCTACCCTAGCGCAGGTCATTGCAAAATAATAATTCTCAGTGAGTCCGAGGTCGATCCACAGGAAAAGGGAATTTAGAACAGGGGCAAATTAATAAAAAGAAAAGTAAATCAATTGATTGTGAAGAATTGGATTTTTGTGTATTTCAATTCTGAAAATAAATATGAGAAAAGCAAAATATTTGGTAAAGAACTAAGGGTTCAAAATTCGTGCTCAACGTCTCCTAGAATTTATTCTTGATTTATTAATGTCACTCAAATGAAAATCACACAAAGGGTGCTTTCAACCGGAAGATAAAAAAGATGATTACAACAAATTAATCATGAAAATTCAGTTCCTCTGATCGATTGATTTGGTTTGCAAGGAATCTCAAGTTTTTATCATGCTCAAAGTCAATGGAAGATAAGAACTTATACTAAACAAAAACTTTACTAAATTGATAAATCAAGCAATCAATACAAATCTTACAGCAAAACCATAGATGAAGAAATACCGTGAATCAATTGAGGCTTCACCCCCATCCATATCTAGGGTTTTTAGCAGTCCATGATATAGAATAGTTGAACCAGGAGAGAAAATGAGAGAGCTAAGAGCCTTTACAAAAAATTAATCCTGTTTGAAGAAGGAATCTAGTTTGCCCTTAAAACAACTTGCTTGCAAGATTTTTTTAACAAAAATCGCGACTGGCCGCTAGATCTGGCTCCAAACCTGCTAGAGTGATCTTCAAAATAAGGTTGCGGGATTGGGTGCTCTAGCTATCTTTCTTGCAACTTGCAACTTGCATTATGTCCAAGATTTCTGAACCCTATTGGACTGGATAGTCTAGGCTCAACCTGTGATATTTTCTTTTGTTTAATTTTAAACATTGACCAAGGGATATATTCTTGATTTTGATTGTTCCTTGTTTACTGCATAAGCTGAGTCTTTTCGTACCTTTTTGGCCACCTATAACCTCGATGCTATCCATATTTCCAACAACCTATGACCTCTAAAAACCACAAAAGCCAACCTAAACCTACAATCTTTTTGTAACCTAAGCCCACCATAAACCTAATTCTTCCTCGATCCAAGTTATTTGTCCATCTCTCATTTTTTTTTATATTTTTATTTTGGATGTCTCATCCAAAAAAATAAATAACTAAAATTGTTGGACATACTTTGTAATCGTCATATGACCTTTATCTTTTTTTTCTGTTAAAATGTGTTTGCTTGTTTTTATGTTGTGTAAAAGAGTGGTGCTCTCTATTGATGGTAAACCGTCCAAATTTGCATTTCATATTCATGCTGTGAAAACTGTAACTAATTGCTAAATCTCTTGCAAAAGGCTTTTTGTTGCTGTTCAAAAATAAATAAATAAATAAAATCTCTTGCAAAAGGCTTTGATTGGTTTTTGTTGAACCATGTGATTCCATATTACACACATTGGATGCATAGACACAACCAAGAAAATTTTACTTAAGCTGTAATAGTGATTTTTACCTCAGTTGATTCTTGGTGTTACTATAGCCAAGTCATGTTTACCTTTTATTCATGTTTCCCGTCTAGTGCTGGGATCCATGCAGTGGCCACTTCTAGGTCTTCAAATAAATGGGTCTGTGAGAGCTGATGGTCAAAGCTGTGCAAAACCAACAAAAAACAGTGATGGTACTTCGGTTGGTGGACTTGGGGGTGCTTCTGGTGGGACAATTCTTCTTTTCCTTCAAGAACTTGTCCTTTTAGAGAACTCCTCTTTATCTGTCAGTGGGGGCCATGGTGGCCAGCTTGGTGGTGGTGGGGGTGCTGGTGGAAGAGTTCATTTTCACTGGTCTAAGATGGATGTGGGGGATGAATATGTTCCTCTTGCAACTATAAGTGGTACCATCAACAGTAGGTATGCCTAATATTCATGGTATCATTGTGGAGATTTTGCTAAATTCATGTTTCCTTATGCATTGATCTGTGCCAATAAATGCTGTGAATAATTTATTTTCTTTTATCATTGCTTTAAGTCCACAACTGTCTTTCATAAGTCAACGCTCAGAGAATGTAACTATTCCTTTTTCAAACATCATGCACCTATCCTTCTCCTCCATGCAATTGATATGTAATATTACTGATATCTCCAGTTTTGAATGAATTGTTCATGACAAGATGAGTGCTGAAAGAACTCCATAGTTGAATTTATCCATTTTATCTGAAACTACATTTAGGCAGGATGATGTGGATAAAAAATATTAACAATTTGTATCAGATGATGTAAAGGTTGGTTTGGGATGTTCTAAAAAAGTGCACTTTTTGACTTATTGGCTTATATGGGTTGGATTTGGGTTGGGTTTGATGTGATGTGTTAGAGAGGTGATGTGATTTAAATAAAATGATGTGACTTAAATAGGATAGTGACTTTTTGACTTTCTGTATTATTTAGTGTACGGGGAGCAAATATTCTGGCAAGCCCGTACTCCTTTCTTCCGAGTTCCGTTTCTGTCCGATCACCTGCGAGCAAATAACGATGAGCTGCCCGGCGGTGTGTGGCCGGAAAAACCCTCCGACGATCAAGTTAGCACACACCTTAGGATAGAGAGAGAGAGAGGGGAGTGTTTGAGTGTAAGAATTTCCTTACAGAATGTTCGTCTATCGCGTATGGGGGGCGCAGACATGCTTATATACCCTCTGCGCCCCATATCCACTCCCAGTCATCTCCTGACACGTGGCTCTACTATCCCATCTGTCAACATAAACCTTGCTGAACATCACCTAATCTCAATTGCCTGCCTTCTCAGCTAGAGCTCGGCAGCCGTGCTTTTCTATCTACGGCCGTGCTGTGCTTCATACCCAAGCACTTCACTGGCTAAGCCCAAGGAGAACCGGGCTCGGCGGCATCTCGGCAAAGCCTAGCCCGGGGCACCTCCTGTGGTCGGCCTTCCTGCCGATCAAACGATTACCTCGACTGACCACGCCTTTTTGGGTGCCGGTCACTCAGCTTGACTGGCTCCACCATCGCCTGATCAAACAGCTCTCTCCAACCGAGCACTGCCTGGCCGAGCAGCTTCTTTACGGTCTGGGGCGGCACATACTTGGCCCAACTCCTGCCCGGCCCAAGTCCTGATAGCCCATCTCCGAGCGGATCGCCGGTCATCTCGGCCCCATGCACCATTAGGCTCTCAACTTGCTCGGCCGTTGCCTCGGCCCAATTTTAGATCATAAATCTCCCTCTCAATTGGCGCCGTCTGTGGAAAATCTTGACAGACAAAACCTTGTCTTCCAGGTTCATCTGATCGCCGTCCATGGCGAACAACGACGAGTTTCCGTTGTTGCCATAAACGGAGCCACCCCGGAGTTCACCCGAAGGAGAGAAGGCCCTCCCGCCATCCATCCCATGGCGGACTTGGGGACGCCCACCGGAGGACAGTCAGGAGACGCGCGGGATAAGCGCGGAAGAAGTCATGGTCATTCACGGGGTCCAGACGGTCACCGGCGGAGGAGAGACTCACACGCCAGACGTCTGGAAAATAAGTTGAGGGACCAAGACGCTGTCATCCGGCGAATGGCGGCGGAGATGGAGGAGCTCAAGCGGCATATCAAAGGGAAGGGTGTAGCTGGAGTGGGTGACCACAATGAACGCACCCCATCCCGCCGTTCAGGTAGTCAGAGTCGGCGGCACACACTGTCCATCTCCATTACCAGAAGTTACAAGGTTGGTGATTCTGATGTGCGCGCAGAGAAGTCCAGCGCGCAAGATAGCACTTACCATCCCTCACGTCCGGTGACGACGTCGTGGTACACCTATTCCGCTCGATCAGAAGATTTGCGGGCAGTCCTGGAGGAACGGGCCACTCCTTGTGGATTCCGACTTGGCAAGGTTGAGCGCCACCCCTTTCTCCCTAGAAATAGAAACAACACCTCTCCTGTCGGGCTTCCACCAGCCGAAGTTCACATTGTACGACGGGAAGACCGATCCCTACATGCATGTAAGTCATTTCCGACAGGTCATGGCCAGACATAGGCGAAATAACGCTCTTATGTGCTTGATCTTCCCGTTGAGTTTGGGCGAGCTGGGTTTGAAATGGTTCGAGAGGCTGCCGGAGGGGAGCATTGAAAGGTGGCAGCAGTTGGCCGAAGCCTTTGTGACGCGCTTCAAAACCAACACAAAAACACCAAAGGAAGTTGATCACCTAAAGAGAGAGATAGGTTGTATCTTCGATGGGTCTTGCGTGCATCTCATCATCTGGCCACGATGAATATCGACCGGGCATAACCGGATGAAGTGCATGGTGGAACTCGGCGACCGAAGTCTGCCAAAGTCTGGCGCCTTTGATAGTAGTGCCGCGGCTGGAAACTTCACATCAAACTGTCCCCAACCGACCGCGATATTTCCACTTTAAGAATTCGGACCCTGAAAAGTCCGCCCCGTTCAAACAAGGCGCTTGAGGGAAACCAGTCAGTACGACGATGGTATGGGCGTGAAAATAATGCGCCAACTTCCTTGAAAGCGCATCATCATGGCACGAATAAGCTCTTTCCAGCGGCCAATTATCTCCATCTCAGCCGGCCGGCACAGGTCTTGCTGACATAAAAATTGGGAGGTGCTGATTCCTTCAACGCGGACTAGCACCGCACTGACTGCCGTGGTGGGAGAACGCGAAGGTAAAGGGTAGAGTTCCTCAACCCGGCTGTGGTGTAACCAAACAAATGGCTAGATGAAGACAGATATCCTTGAGCTCGCGCCAAGCCTTCGGTCACACTCTTTCGTCCCACGAGAACTTTGACTTCGAATGCTGAAAGAAAGGAGGGCGGCAGCGATCTGATGACCGGCTTATAAACCGATTAACGCGGCGGCCATCCGGCCAAAAAATGCTGCAACGTCCTTAGCCGAGCTGGGCTGCTTCAACTCTTGCCGGCTCTGATCTGATGTAGGTCTGCTTGATGCCCTGGTTTGTTGACTAAGAACCCCAAAAATTTTCCCGGAATCCCTCGCCAATAGGCCACTTTGAGCGGCATTCAAGGCACTTGCTGCTTCTTTTAGAATGGCAAACATCTCGGCTAATCCCCGGACAAATGGTTTTGCCTCATGTCGGCTCTTCACCACCATATCATCGAGTAGAACTCGCATTGTCCGGCCAAAAGCAAGGAGCAAACATTTTGGTTACCAATCCTCTGAAAGGTTGCCCCGGCGTTCTTTCAAACCAAAAGGCATGATCGGTAACAGAGAAGTCTCCTTGGAGTCGCTGAAAGAGGTGATCTTCTCGGTCGGGCCCCCATGCCATGGCGAATCTGATGGTGCCTGCGTAGGTCATCCAAGAAAACTGAAGTCCTAATTATGTCCCAGCAGTCCCAAGTCCCCAGACAAGCCTGGTCTTCGCGCCATAAGGAGCTATTTTTGGGACAAGCCGTTGACTGATCTATAGTCGACAACAAAACCGCGCACTTTTCCATTCTTCTTGGGCCACTACCTGTGTTGGAAATCCACCGCAGGGTAAGTGCACTTCTGAATTGCTCGTGCCTCAAGCAGGTTCCTTCATCCTTCCTCTGAACTACCGTCAGGCGTGATGCAGTGCGATCCTCCTTGATTGCCTGGATGAACTGGGTTTGCCCCAGGGAATGATAACATGAGTGATTTGGCAACGATAAACTTGGATCGAGGCCCCCCGGCATGTTGTAAGGGCGACCACGCGAAGACTTTTCGATGTTGGCCATCAAAACTTCAACCAATCTCGGTCCCCCTCTCTATGGCCGTGAGAACTTTTGAGCCGAGCAAGAAGACACTTGTCCGGCTGTTCTGTATCAATTTGCAACCTCAACCAATTCCTTAATCAGCCCTTGTCTCGGCCTGGGCCCACATCAATCCAAATGACACCCCGGTCTCCGGTCCCTCAATCATTTGAAACGATCCTTTGGGCAGCCCGGCTGCCGTTCACCGCCCACGAAGCACTGTTTTTGGAACATTGACTTGATCCACCCCCAGAATCTCCTCGATCGCCCCATGAGCGCCGAGGGGAATTCCATCACTCTGGTGGTAAGTCGATGTACACGGCTTGCATAGGCGTGGAGCCATCCCTTCCCAATAAGGTTGTACGTCGAAGGCACTTGTAAGCACCCAAAACTCCACTTGCCTTGAATGGATCCCGCTTTGACGCAGGATAATCCTTTCCCAAGGGCCACTCCCGGTTTGTGAGTTGGAATCCTAACCACCCTTTGTGGCGAAGTTGGCTCGGAGCAATACCTAGTCTGTCTCCCGGAAGTTTGAGCTGCTAGTGAAACGCATCATAAATACATGATCATCGGACCCGAGCTTCCCGAATCGATCAAGATCCGTTTAAACATCAAATTCCTTGACGCGTAGTGTTACTACTAGGGCATCGTTTGCGGCGTCTGGATGCGCTCTAGATCCCTTGAGGTGAAACTAATCACGTTCTTTTTCTTCATCTTCCCCCTTTTGATGGCAGGCTTGTACCGACAAAACTTCCCTCATATGTTCTGCCTTTTTTATCATGCCCCGGAGTTCGCAAACACGCTCCAGTTCCACGATGTCGTGGATGACATTAATAACTCCCTGTGGTGGTGCGTCTCGATCATCCTGTCCCCATGGATCGACCGGAGCCTGATTCGGCTTTACGCTGCCATCAATGTAAAGGTCGAGGTGCCCGGCCGCGACCAGCTTTCTTCTAAGTGTTGCCTCAAAGGCAAACAATCCTCAGTCCGGTGGCCTCTCTCCCGGTGGAATGTTGCAATGATACCGCGGATTTGTAGCCCTTCTGTCCATCGCGCCCAACTTAGCAGGAAACCGGACATACTCCTCATCTCGGGATTTCACTAAGTATGCAATAAATTGAAATCTTGAGACCGTGGTTGATGCCAGTCCTTGCCTTCAATCTTCTGTTGGCATCTGCGACA